GTTAAACTGTTGTGTGCTTTGTGGATAATTGAGATGATTTTTTAGCACTGTGCTTAATTGCAATAACATCAGTTTGGCCATGAGCAAGATATTTAAAATGGCCTGAAGTGGTTGGTCTTTGAATAAGATAAAATCGGTAGTTCCTAACAGATAAAATGCATATTGAAAATCCAATATAGTGGATTTGTTCTGGGATTGACATACTTCAGACAGCTTCTCTAGGCTTTTTTATTATTACAGTTGACATCTCTCTTTCTCTCATCTAGAATTCTCATTTTCATACAAAATTATTTAAATTTTTTTCAGCATTTTAATTTTAGAAATAAATCTGAAAAATGCATGTTCATGTTGTTGTTGTTGTTCATTCGTTCAGTCGTCTCCGACTCTTCGTGACCTCATGGACCAGCCTACGCCAGAGCTCCCTGTCGGCCGTCACCACCCCCAGCTCCTTCAAGGTCAGTCCAGTCACTTCAAGGATGCCACCCATCCATCTTGCCCTTGGTCGGCCCCTCTTCCTTTTGCCTTCCACTTTCCCCAGCATCATTGTCTTCTCTAGGCTTTCCTGTCTCCTCATGATGTGGCCAAAGTACTTCAACTTTGTCTCTAGTATCTTTCCCAGTGAGCAGTCGGGCTTTATTTCCTGAAGTATGGACTGGTTGGATCTTCTCGTGGTCCAAGGCACTCTCAGAACTTTCCTCCAACACCACAGTTCAAAAGCATCGATCTTCCTTCGCTCAGCCTTCCCTAAGGTCCAGCTCTCACATCCGTAGGTTACTACAGGGAACACCATGGCTTTGACTAGGCGGATCTTTGTTGCCAGTCTGATGTCTCTACTCTTTACTATTTTATCGAGACTGGACATTGCTCTCCTCCCAAGAAGTAAGCGTCTTCTGATTTCCTGGCTACAGTCTGCATCTGCATTAATCTTTGCCCTAGAAATACAAAGTCTGTCACGGCCTCCACGGTTTCTCCTTCTATTTTCCAGTTGTCAATCATTCTTGTTGCCATAATCTTGGTTTTTTTACGTTTAGCTGCAACCCGGCTTTTGCGCTTTCTTCTTTCACCTTGATTAGAAGGCTCCTCAGCTCCTCCTCGCTTTCGGCCATCAGAGTGGTGTCATCTGCATATCTGAGGTTGTTGATGTTTCTTCCAGCAATTTTCACCCCAGCTTTGCATTCATCCAGCCCCGCACATCGCATGATGTTCTGCATACAAGTTAAAAGGTTGGGTGAGAGTATGCAGCCTTGCCGTACGCCTTTCCCAATCTTGAACCAGTCTGTTGTTCCGTGGTCAGTTCTGACTGTTGCTACTTGGTCCTTGTACATATTCCTCAGGAGAGAGACAAGGTGGCTTGGGATGCCCATCCCACTAAGAACTTGCCACAATTTATTATGATCCACACAGTCAAAGGCTTTAGAATAGTCAATGAAGCAGAAGTAGATGTTTTTCTGAAACTCCCTGCCTTTCTCCATTATCCAGCGGATATTGGCAATTTGGTCTCTCGTTCCTCTACCTTTTCTAAACCCAGCTTGAACATCTGGCAACTCTCGCTCCATGTATTGCTGGAGTCTTCCTTGCAGGATCTTGAGCATTACCTTACTGGCATGTGAAATAAGGGCCACTGTACGGAAGTTTGAGCAGTCTTTCGCATTTCCCTTTTTTGGTATGGGGATATAAGTTGATTTTTTCCAGTCTGATGGCCATTCTTGTGTTTTCCATATTTGCTGGCAAGTGGCATGCATCACCTTGACAGCATCATCTTTAAAGATTTTAAACAGTTCAGCTGGGATCCCGTCGTCTCCTGCTGCCTTGTTGTTAGCAATGCTTCTTAAGGCCCATTCAACCTCACTCCTCAGGATGGCTGGTTCTAATTCATTCACCACACCGTCAAAACTATCCTCAATATTATTATCCTTCCTATACAGATCTTCTGTATACTCTCGCCACCTTCTCTTGATCTCTTCAGCTTCTGTTAGGTCCCTGCCATCTTTGTTTCTTATCATACCAATTTTTGCCTGAAATTTACCTCCAATGTTTCTAATTTTCTGGAAGAGGTCTCTTGTCCTTCCTATTTTGTTGTCTTCCTCCACTTCCATGCATTGCTTATTTAAAAATAGTTCCTTATCTCTTCTGGCTAACCTCTGGAATTGCGCATTTAACTGGGCATATCTCCCCTTTTCACTGTTTCCTTTTGCTTTCCTCCTTTCTTGGGCTACTTCCAGTGTCTCAGCAGACAACCATTTTGCCTTCTTGGTTTTCTTTTTCTTTGGAACGTACTTTGTTGCCCTCCTGAACAATGTCTCGGACTTCTGTCCATAGTTCTTCTGGTACTCTGTTTACTAAATCTAGTCCTTCAAATCTGTTCTTCACTTCCACTGTATATTCGCTAGGAATGTTAGTGAGATCATATCTAACTGGTCTGTGTTTTTCCTGATCTCTTTAGTTTTATTCTAAATTTGGCAATAAGAAGTTCGTGATCTGAGCTACAGTCAGCCCCAGGTCTTGTTTTCACCGACTGGATGGATGTCCGCCACCTTTGGCTGCAAAGGATGTAGTCAATCTGATTTCGGTGTTGAACATCTGGTGAGGTCCATGTATAAAGCCGTCTTTTAGGTTGTTGGAAGAGAGTATTCGTTATACACAGCGAGTTTTCCTGGCAAAATTCTATCAGCCTGCGTCCCGCTTCATTTTGTTCTCCCAGACCATGCTTGCCTGTGATCCCAGTTGTCATTTGACTTCCCACCTTGGCATTCCAGTCTCCTGTAATGAAAATAATGTCTCTTTTTGGTGTATTATCCAGTAGGTCCTGCAGATCCTCATAGAACTGATCTACTTCTGCTTCTTCAGCAGCTGTGGTTGGGGCATATATTTGGATCACTGTAATGTTGAAAGGCTTTCCTTGCACTCGAATTGAGATCATTCGGTCATTTTTTGGGTTGTATCCAAGCACCGCTTTAGCTAATTTCTTATTAATTATGAAGGCTACTCCATTTCTTCGATGTTCCTCTTGTCCGCAGTAGTAGATCTGGTGGTCATCTGATGTGAAGTGGCCCATTCCAGTCCAGTTCAGTTCGCTGACCCCCAGAATGTCTATCTTTAGTCTTGACATCTCACCAATAACAACATCCAATTTGCCCTGGCTCATAGATCTTACATTCCAGGTTCCTATGGTGTGTTGATCTTTAGAGCATCGGATTCGTCGTTCACCTCCAGTACCGTCGGCCGCTAGCCTTCCTTTCGGCTTTGAGCTAGCTGCGTCAGCACATCTGGGGCTAGTTGAACTTATCCTCTGCTCCTCCCCAGTAGCATTTTGGCCATCTTCCGACCTGGGAGTCCCATCTTCCAATGGCATACCGACATATCTCTGGTTGTACTGGTCCATTTAGTTTTCTTGGCAAGGATACTGGAGTGGTTTGCCATTGCCTTCCCCAGGGATCACGCTTGGTCTGACCTCTCTGCCACAGCCGTCCCGTCTTGGGTGTCCCTTCACGGTTTCGCTCATGACATCATTGAGGTGCTCAAGCTCCAGCGCCCCGACAAGGCGGTGATCCTTTGCTGGAGTTCATAGCAGTAGTCATATCTTCTGGTGGAAATGGGGAGAATTAGCTATATGATGTTTTCAGAGAAAACCATGGGAATTTAATTTAACAATAAGTATTATTTGATTTCATCTGCTTATTCAAATGTTCTGTTGTTAACGCATGAAATATTAGTTGCCACAATTCTGTTCTTAGATGTATAAAACTAAAAGCTGTGAAAACTGAAAGCCATAATGAACTAGCAGCTGACTCTGAACTACATTTGCTATTTGACCTTTCTAGTATTTTCATGAAGGTACAGCTAATGTTTAGCTATTTTAAATTAGCTTCTAAATATGATTGCTTATTTAATTGTTTTAACTCTTGAATTGTCTGTTAACTATATTTTGTTTTAAGGGTTTTTGTGAGTTACCTGGGATTTCATGTTGGGTGAAAGGTAAGTTAGACATAAATAAAATAAAAAAATATTTTTTCAAAGTTTCCAGTTTTATATTTGTAATTTCTTTTATTTTGAAGCAGAGATGCGTGATTGAAAGAACTTAGAAAGTGGCTTTGTTGGGTGGGGGATTCTGAGAATTATAGTCCAAAGGATAAATCTAATTTTGATTCCAACTTGAGTAAATTCATTAAAATCAATGGGATTTTTGAAGTCCCAACAATACAAAAATAGTATTGATACCCTCCTCACTTTCATAGTTCTGTTCTGCTTCTTCTTCTTCTTTTCACTAAGTGTGTTCATTCAGGGTTATCTCAAGTCATGTTGCTAAAAGAGTCCATGCCGTAAATACCTCTTCTTAACCAAGGCACATAGTATTCTAGGTCAGCCAAACTATTTCTGCAGCTAGGACAATGCTATAAGTCCCTTTCGTTTTTCCTGGCATTCAACATACAGTGATTTTGAATTAAATAACCACCAGTTTCTGCCTTTTCCCAAACCCAAATAACTGCTTTGAGAGGAAGATCAAACAACAGCCACTCCACCATGCTAATGACATAATTTGTTATAACTATTTGTCCACAGTCATGCCAGCCACATGACCTAGGAGATATCTACGGACAATGCCGGCTCTTCAGCTTAGAAATGAAGATGAGCATCACCCCCTGAGTCAGACTCAACTAGACTTAATGTCAAGGGGAAACCTTTATCTTTATTTGCCCATACACACGCACACGCACACACACACACACATGCATGCACACACACACACACACACACACACACATATAACTTCCATAGATAGATTTACCTAACTCATCTGTTTTCATTCATTCATTTATTCAGATCCATCTACTTCAATGTACTTTTATGAATACAGCATCACCATATTTAAAATAATCTTAAAATTTGTTCTTTCCCCCAGTTTATTGTTTCCATTTTAGCTCTAGAATGGTAAGAAAGGAGTGGGCATGCAAATGTTGTGCATCAGATGGCCAACTTTTATTTAAAGATGGCCAAGAAAGTTAGGAAAACTTATCCAAGTAGTAGTTTTCCCATCTTCGCACTTTGTTAATAGCCACCTTCCACTTGTTTGGGCTCATCTTCTCTATTCCCTTTCCAATCAAGTCACTGAAGAGGATGCACTGGTATGAGTAGCTCCTCTCCAAGGAGGTCAGAGAAAACTCCTTTCTGTTATTGATAATAAACCATTTCAATGAAGACCAGGCAGCTTCCATTGGGTGAAGATAGCTAAAAGGGAAAGGCACAGAGAGAACTTCATGACCTGTTGCATTAGCAATCTCGGGGCAGCATTTGATGCTTAGTAAACCAGGTAAAGGGGGTAAAGGGGGTGATAGATTGTCACTCAGCTCCATCTGCTGGCTGGACTCTTCAGTCTTCCCTCTTGACTGCCTTCTTTCTCTGACAACAATGGCACACTTCCCATAGTTGATGGCGAGAAAGTCACAGAGTTCCTGAAATACACCTTCTTGGTGCCCTAAGGATAAGTCATCCCTTAAAAACACTCTGTATTTCCATGGCACCCATCCTTGGCTGTGCCCAGCATGTACCACTGTCCATATGGGCCAATTGAGAGTATTCTCATGAAAACCCTTTTCACCTGTTATTAGACTTTCTGAAAGATCTGTTTCTCCTAAATAGATGGTGTCGTAGCCATTAAATTGCAGATTTCTTAGGGCTTTTAAGTATTGCAAACACTGTTTCCTTGAAACTGCATCAAGAGAACTCCTGTGGATGATGTGCTTTAAAAGAGGATTTACAGCACGATACATCTTAGACCAACTGATAAAACTGAAATGCACATAAAGTTCTGATGATGTCTAGGACAGTGATGATCTCACAATGGACCTTTCTTGCATATGTTACTCAACTGTATTGAAACAAAAGTCAAGCAATGCATTTACAAGTTCCTGTGGCAAAAATAATGGAGAAAAGTAATTGCAGTTCTGTTGTAAAATACAAGTCTCCTTTTACTTAGAGCAACCACCAGTTTTACAACACTGCTAAATGTTTTGTTCACTTAGTATTATACATTAATATTGAATTTGAGTGAGCCACTAATAAGAAGGCATGTGGAGGGTTGAGTGAGAAGAGTTATAAGTAGACTGTGAACTTTATTGCACGAAGCTGCTATTCCACATCAGTTGCACTATCATAGATAATGGATATACAGTAGAGTCTTGCTTATCCAACTTTTACTCATCCAACATTCTGTATTATCCAATGCAGTCTGCCTCCCGCCTGGATCCACAGCTGTTTCAATACATGTTTAGGTGCTAAATTTGTAAATACAATAATTACTACATAACATATTGAGCTGTTTTTTTTCTGTAAATTTGTTGTACAAGATGTTTTGGGGCCTAATTTGTAAAATCATAACGTAAGTTGACGTTTAATAGTTCTTTCCTTAATTCCTCTTTATTATCCAACATTTTTGCTTATCCAACGTTCTGTTGGCCCGTTTATGTTGAATAAACAAGATTCTGGAATGACCCACTTTGATAACACACCTCTCTTCATTTGCACAATTCATGGTCCCACAGTTCTACTTCCACAAATCCTCATAACACACAGTTCTGTATTTTTAAAGAATTTTATTTTCACAATAAAAAGGAATAAAAACACAAGGAAGCAAATATAAATGTAAAATATTAATAAATACAAAACAGTTGCTGTGCTTGCATGTTGGCACAGCAGTGGAACAACCCTATCGTACATGACAGATGAATGGAACATTGGGGGATTGTGAGCTATTGGTGGGTTTCGTCCATTAATAGTCAGGGACATGGGGAGAAGACAGACCAGCAGTGGAATGCACATAAAAAGGTTCAATGCCATTTTCTTGTCTTTTGTGATAAAGTCCTACATCTTTGAATTACAAAGGCAAGGCACAGTAAACTCCAGACACTGCAGCTTACTAAGTAGCTGGGAAGGAAGTGCCTTGAACAAGGAACCAACTTGTCATATCTGTAGGTGTGTGTATGTGGGATAAGGGTGGGTGGCATTTCCTTCTATTTAAATCTGAGTAGACTTTAAAGCCAGGACAAAATTCCCAGTGATTCCAAAATATCTTCCATCTGGTTAAATCTATCTGGACTAGTAATAAACCCTGGGAATACTATCAGCATCCATCGCTTACTTCTTTGTGCACTATGCAAAACATAATCACATCCCTGCCTTGGACCAAGGCATTGACATTTCCGGCCCATATCAGCCAGCAAGACAACACCTGAAATCAAGAAATAGCCTCCCAAGATCTACATAGACACTTGGAGGAACCCCTCAATAAGTGAGAGTCTAAAAGTGGCAGACGAAAACCCAGACCCTCAATCAGTAGCTGATACGATATGAGAGACTCCCTCCTGGGCACACAGACAGCTGGACAACTTGGAAGGCGCTGAACAGGCTGTGCTCTGGCACTATGAGCTGCAGAGGCGACCATAAGAAATGGGACTACAAAGTGGATTTCATGACATGCAAGTGGGGAGAAGAGCAAATCAAAGACCACCTAATACAATGCAGCCTGAGCCCTGCCACATGCACAATGGAAGACCTTCTCACAATGACACCAGAGGCACTCCAAGTGGCCAGCTTCTGGTCAAAGGGCATTTAGTATAATGCTAAGTTTTTTTTTCAACTTTGTGTTTTTAAATACATTATAACTACATCCTCAATTAGCTTCTGACACAATAAGAGCCATGTTGGGGTGAGACAGAATGACAAAGAGAAGAAATGCCAATGTAAGGAATGGTTAAAGAGGTTGGATTAGATGTCCCTCGCAGTCCCTTCCAACTCTAAGATTCTTTAATTCTATGTGTTAGATCTGAAACCTTCTTCTTTCCCCATGTATAAATGCCACATCTGAAGGGCACTTGAATGGGGAGGGAAGAATTGTCGACTGCACATGCATACATACATTTTCTGCAAGTTATAAAAATAGAATTTGCCTTTTTCTGCATCTTATCCTATTCTATCTCTTCTCATAGTTGACGTGAAGAAAGGGGATAACTATTAGAAATATACATTCTCTACTACAGTCACTGACAGACTCACCATCAATACTCTACCCTTAGAAGACAATCATTCTCAGCCACAAATGATAGCCTATGATAAGATGATAGGGAAACCAGCACTTTAACCTAGGCTAGGAGCCCACGGTGGTGCAATGGGTTAAACCCTTGTGCCAGCAGGACGGAACACCAATGGGACGGAGGTTCGAATCTGGGGAGAGCACAGATTAGCTCCCTCTGTCAGGTCCGGCTCACCATGCGGGGATATGAGAGAAGCCTCCCACAAGTATGGTCAAACATCAAAACATCTGGGCGTCCCCTGTCAAACGTCCTTAAAGATGGCCAATTCTTTGCACCTGAAGCGACTTGCTGGACTGCTTCAGAACTGGACTGAAATGATGTGTGCTTTGGTCAGTCACAGCCAGAGGATGTCTTGTTGGAAAGGCATATGGGAAGAATTATGCATATCTATAATTTCATGACAATAATCCCCTATTTGAGCCATTTCTGTCTTCTATAAGACTTGATTTAAATTAGGCTTTACTAACCTGGAGTTGTATATTATACGATAACATGGTCCTGTAACTAAAGATGATGATGGACAGGAAACAACAGCATATTAAAATACAGCATGAACAACTAATTAACCCAGATGGCAAGTTTCCCAAATTCACTTTGCATTTACAATGCCTACTAAAATCTTAAGCTACATACTGACTTCACCAGCTGTGATTTCCCTAAACCGACCTGCAGCAGCCAATAATTAGAAGGAGGCTTGGCTTTATTTCATGGGAAAGGGAACAGTTCATGTTTCTTGCAGTGTTTCATTCTGCACTCACTTTAATATAGCCTTTGGCTTTAATTTAGCCTTCATTCAAAATCTTGTTTAAACTCTGCACTTTCGTTTCTCTTCATATTTTTGGTTTTTTAAAAAACTGTGAAAACTCTTGCTGGGACAAGTTGTTTGATTTTGTTTTCACACCTTCAGGATAATCATCTCTGTCAAGCATGAACAAATAAATACTTCATAAATCTTGATACTTAGGAGACAAAAATAAGGTGCACCTACATAGGCCATAGCATAAAAAACATTTTTTGTTGTTGTTGCAAAAGTTGGATTCAAAATATAGAGATTATTTTCTTCTTTTATAAAAAAACACACACATTGAACAAACATATACATGGGTAGATTACGTTTCATACAAGGTTTGGCTTGATATAGTCTATCTTCAGACAATTCGGTGCAGGAATGGGAAACCCATTATACTGTTTAGCAAGAAACACTTCTTTCCATTCAGTTTACTCTAGGAAAGTGGTTCTCGATCTGTGGGTCCCCAGGTGTTTTGGCCTACAACTCCCAGATATCCCAGCCAGTTTACCAGCTGTTAGGAACTCTCGAAGATGCTCACAAGGAACTGCTCCGGCATTGTTCAGGCCCACTATTCCATGAGCCAAATTAAATGAAAATATATTGAAAATTAAAATGCCCACAATTAAAAATAATCCATACAGGATACAAGGATCCACTTTCATACATTTCTCAGTACTGATTCCAGACTTGCTTCTGTTGTACTGCCATCAGTCTTTGGGCTCTGGCTAGTACTGGCAGGTTTAGACATGGATATCTTTTCAGCTGCCGGCAATGTTCCATTGTGCGGAGGTCTTCTTCTCATTCTTGGAAAGTTCTCTTGATAAAGGTAGTCCATGTAGTTTTCCCGTTGCCGGGAAACAATATTGCTCATCATCAGAGAGAAAAGCAGAAAGCCAAAAAATCCAACAATTATCAGGATGTACAAAGAAGCGGCAATCTGTTCCTGCTCCAGAAGATATGGATTTGTGTAATTGAGGTACCCTTTTTTCTCTCTTTCTTGAACATAAACATACAGCAAACTCTTCAGGACCGACCTTACTTCAGTGGGGCTGACATTCATTTTACAATGCCACTTAGGCTGCAAAGACAAAAGGCGGAGGGAGAAAGAAAGAAAGTTAGGTTTAAGTCTGACATTTGGCCTCAATTTATTTGAAATATTACATAGATGAACATTTAGTCATCACATAACATCCTCTACTCTTTACCCTGTTGAGACAATTGACTGCAAATGATTTTCAGACTTTGAACTCAATTTAGCGCAATTGGACTAAGCTGAGGCCAAAGGGGGAAAGAGGGTTGAGGAGAGAGAAACTAGGACATTTTAAAAACTGCTGAAAAATGGGATGTTAGTGAATTTATCAGGGCTGTTTCAGCCAAATCAAGGCAGTTGGAAGATATGCAATTTATCATGGCAGGGATGGCACTTGTACAACCTCTGAGAAAGTACAGTTTCTTATGTAATAAACATGATTCCAGCCTTAAATCTTGCCCTTCTGATTTATCACTCAGGACAACTAGCAACTTGGAATACTGACATGCCTTTTAACCCTGTATTTATTGACATTGTGTAATTTTGTTATTACTGTATTGCTTTTCATGTGATTGTTTTATTGTTGAATGTTTTGTATCATTATTTGAATAAACTTAACTTATTGTTGTATTTTATGGTACTGAATATTTGCCTTTTATGTTGCGAGCCACCCGGAGTCCCCTCAGGGAGATAGGGCAGGATAGAAATAAAGTTTTACTTACTTCTTAAAAATAATCTAATAGGGGAAAAAAAACCCAACAGTAGTAACAATAATCCCAAAACAACAATAGCTGTGCAACTACTGCTAAAACAATAACAAAAATACTTATTAGTGTACATATAACAAAAACTGACTTTTGATAAGAAGATTTATTACTACTGTCCACTGTAAAGATACAAAAGACCTGTATTACACAGTCCTTAAAAATGTTGTGCAAAGATTTGCATCTTTCTGGATCTTATTACATTTTATTCCACTCCCACAACTGTATAAAACAGTTGGAAATAAAACGGCAACTAATCGCTGATTTTAAAAAAAATACTTTGCAAGCTCTGGATAAAATCTGCATGGGATTTGCCTTGTGGCAAAGCAGTGTTACAAGGCAGAAAAGTCTCTCAATTTACACATAAAATACCTTTTTGCTTGGACATGCAGAAGGACTTCTCCTGTGGCTGGTATGGAATAATTTAACATCCTAGTTTCATCAAGTAGACCCAACAAGCAAGCCCAACAAGCAAGCCCAGCCATGATCCTACTGTTCTTCAACTCCTACCTTTTCCCACAAAATTGTCTTCCATAAGAAACTCGTCTTAAGACACAGAATTATTGTTGTGTCAACTACAATGAAAATAAGGTGCTTTCATTCGCTTTTCAGAGTGGAGATGCTGCATGAAATTTTTTAGAATGCCTCTATCCTTTGGTTCCAGTATCCAACATAATAGATTTACAGTAATGACTTGTGTTCCTCTGACCTCCAATAGAAAAAAACAAAACCCTGCTGCAATGCCATACTCTTGCATAGAAATGTGTCAGAATTGATCTTTTTATATGTGCATGTGTTTTATTTTATTGTTTTATATTCTGCTCACTTTTGTGTTTGTTTTTAGGCTCTTTGTGCTGTTTGTAAGTCGCCCTGAGTCTTTCTGGAGAGATGGTGGTGGAATATAAGAATAAAGTTGTTGTTGTTGTTGTTGTTGTTGTTGTTGTTGTTATTATTATTATTAAAAGTAATTACTGTGTTTTTGAGCTGTTCAGAGTGGTGGCTGGAGGACCAACTTCATTCTTTTTCCTTTCATGGAATATTCTCTTGCAATTTTGACAAGCAGAAGGGAGGGGGGGGGGATTTCCCAGCCAAATAATTCAGCATTCACATTTCACGGATATTTTCAGACACACCTTTATGTTTCTGGTACATCATTATGTATTTTCTCATATTATACATTTTATAATAAAGCTGAAACATTTTGCTCTTAATATGCATTCATAGTTCTGTTTGTTCATCGTTTCTCTCTCTCTAATAATTATATTCTCTATAATGTAATACAGAACATGTTCATATGTTATATATCATAATATATTTTCACCACAATATAATTTACAATCCCCAATGCCATCAATATCTTACCATTTTCTTTTTAAATGTGGGATCCAGAAGGAATATGCCTAATGTTTATACTTCAAGACTTATGAGCATCTTTCTTAATTGACTGGAGTGGAGCACCAGTGGTGCAATGGGTTAAATTCTTGTGCTGGTAGAATTGCTGACCAGTAGGTCAGTGGTTTGAATCTGGGGAGAGCAAGTTGAGCTCCCTCTGTCAACTACAACTTTCCATGCAGGGACATGAGAGAAGCCTCCCACAAGGATGGTAAAAAAACATCAAACATCCCCTGGAAAACATCCTTACAGACAGCCAATTTTCTCACACCAGAAGCAACTTGCAGTTTCCCAAGTCACTCCTGACATGGGGAAAAATTGACTGGAACTTTTCAAAATCATAGACAATATACAATGAGATCTCAGAAGTATTATTACAAATATGGAAATTGTGCCAAGTTCCTGAAAAGATGCGGTTTTAATTATAATTATTACTAGTCCTGGACTTACACAAATATTAAAGAGGTGTTTCCTTGGGATGAGAATATAGTTAACTACCAACCTTCATTGAAATAGCAGTTTCTGCTGGGGCTCTTCCTCTTCCAGCCAGTCATGTTGCCCTGTCCCAAATACAGTGCCAGCCCCTCTGTTCTGGATCAGCTGTTTTATATCCTCTGTTCTCCTGTGTTTATGTTGAATCTTACTTCTGATTGTGGACAGCAAGGCATTTCCTTCCATGCAGAGTTAATATACTCTGTGTGTGTGTGTGTGTGCACGCCTGTGTGTGAAGTCTTGATATAAGTGATCACTGGCCATGTGAAACTACAGGAACATCCTGGATGATTCAGGTCTACTATTCCTGGCAACTCCTCTTCCTCCTCTTCTTCTGATATTATGATACTTTAATGGTAGTGTTTACTCTTCCATAAGGCATATGACCAGGCCAGTCTGGAATGCTACTAGCCATTAGTATTCAAATAGCCACTACAGTCCATCAGTTGAAGGAGTGAAATTGTCACTTCATATAATGAGCATTGAATAGCAACAGGTAGTTTAAGTTTATTGTATGCAAGCATAAAGAACCATGTCAGCCAAAAATATACCCAGTGCTGGAAAGAATTTCTATTCTCTGTAAATCTTCTATTCCCTTTCTCCAAAGACTCCTTTTCATAGGGGTACAGGGTGGAGAAGAGAAGGGGAGAGTCAGAAATGGTTTGAGGACAGAGAGACCAGCAAGTATGTCCACAGCACAGAATGATACTAGTTTGACACCCCTGTAACTGCCTTGATTTTAGCCTCTGGAATCTTGGCAATTGTTTCATCATCAACATAGTTTATCGTACGGGCCCAAGGCCATGACAAAAACCACCACATGCGCACAACAGTACCCTTGAAGAAACAGGCACTAAAGATGCTAAACAGAAACTATAATCATACTTTCACAAAGAGCAAAAGCAATGCAAGTTAACAATAATTAAAGTACATTTTGGGAGATGGTGCAATTAATGGTGCAGTCTCATCTGCCGCTGATGGCAATTTTATCTAACTCTGTCTTTCTTGGCAATTGTGGTATTTAGCCTTCTTTGTCAAAGAGCTATGGTGGCTCACCAAATGGCAAATCCCAGGATTTTGCAGAATACAGCCATGGCAGTTAAAGCAGTGTTGTGTGTGTTTGTCTTCAAGTAGCATGTCAACTCATGGTGATCTTAAAGTTTTTTTTAGCAAGGAATACTCAGAGGTGATTTTGCTAGGATTTTGTAGGATCTAGGGAGGTATGAGAAACTTTACTTAGCTTTAAGATAGGTGTGTGTGTGAGAGAGAGAGAGATAGAGATAGAGAGATGCAATAGAATCAAACTGCCCCAACTCATGAGTATGTATATTTTAATGTATATAGGTCACCCCAGAACACTGTGTCTGCTTAATTCATTTATAATATAACAAAATAAAAACCCATCAAAAAGCATGGCATTTCTGTCCCTTAACAAGATATGATTTTAGTGCCAAATACCTTATGAACTGCTGTTATATGATCTTGCCAGGCATCAGTTATTCTGGAGTACACTCTTTCTAGACCTCCTTTCTCCTGAAAAGTAGAATACAGTCTTTGATTGCTAAAAAAGTTTTCCAGATGCAATGAACAAAATGATGCAGAAGCCATAATCCCTGTTTCATCAAATGAATACATGCATACCCAGCCTCATTAAAATAAAAGGGATACAATTCTATACCCCACACTATCTAACATGTACCTTAATAACAACAGACCAGAGTCTAATCTTCCTTTTTGGGGCAGTTGCCCCCCCAACTCCAGGTAGTCTTGCACACTTCCTTGACCCATTTTAAACCAGTTTCAGAGCAGGAGATAGAGCTCAGACTACTATGGTTGCCTTAGTGGATAATCTCTATCTTAACACTGAAAGGGGAAGCATTTCAGTGTTTAGATTTCTTAGTGGCTTTTGATACCATCAACCATGGTATCCTGGAAAGCCTGGAGGGGCTGGGTATCGGAGGCACTGAGTTGCAGTGGTTCCAGTCTTACCTCTCAGGCAGGTTCCAGAAGGTGGTGCTTGGGGATAGCTGCTCCTCAAAAAATGAGCTGTTATGTGGAATCCAATAGGGTGTCATTCTATCCCCAGTGCTTTTTAACATTTACATGGAATCATGGGAGAGATCATATGTAAGCATGGGGCAGGATGCTAACAGGATGCTGATGATATCCAAATATATTTCTCAATGCTTTTAAAAACAGCTTTAGCTAAGAATAGTGTGTTTCCTCTAAACTGATGCCTTGAGGAGGTAATGGACTGGATGAGGAAAAACAACTTGAAACTGAATCCAGACAAGACAGAGGTGCTTGTCATCAAGGATCCTAACCTAGAGTTGGAGGTGTGTCAACCAGTTCTGGATGGGGTTACACTCCCTCTGAAAGCCTGTGTCAGCAGCTTGGGAGCATTCTTGGATCCATCTCTCCAAATTTCAGTACAGGTAGATGCAACGGTCAGGTGTACTGATTACCAACTTCGGCTGATATGCCGGCTGTGCCCCTTCCTAGAATAAGAGGACCTAAAGGTGGTGGTTCATATACTGGTAATCTAAAGGTTGGACTTCTGCAATGTGCTTAACATTGGGCTACCTTTGTAACAATTTTGACAACTCCAACTAGTTGAAAACATGGCAGGCAGATTAGTTACAGGAACATATAGGAGGGAGCATATTACACACATGTTAAAGTCCCTCCACTGGCTGCCAATTAGTTTTGGGCATTGTACAAAGTTTTGGTTTTGGCCCTGGGCACATAGGACCTCTGGGGGATGCTTACTCCAGCCAGCCAAATCCTGACTGGCAACCATCGCCCAGAGGACCTTTTCATCAGCTGCCCCAAGACAATGGAATGACTTGCCTATAGAGGTCTGACAGCTAAATCAGCTATAAGAATTTAAGAGACAACTGAAGACCTATATCTTCCAGCAGACCTACCTAGTCAACTTTAAACTGTGAATTTTAACCTGCATTTTATTAGTATTAGTGTTGGTCTTGGTTCTATGTATGTTACCATATGTATTTTAATATTATTATATTTTATCTGTCTGTTTTAATCATATTGGAACCTGCCTTGAGCAGTGAAGAGAGGCAGGTAACAAATAAACGTATTATTATTATGTTATTATTTTGTAGCTTCTACATATTACATCATCTTAACATTCCCCCATGCTTGTCTCACAATTTCCCTATGCAGGTAAGGCAATTTACTAGAATATGTACTGGCGACATGCCAGCAGAAGCACGTTTTGTAAGGATGATGCCAAGGAAATTGCACAATTACTTTGCCTCACTCATGAGATCTTCAGCAGGGGAGGAGGGAGGAATGCTGTCTTTTCTCTTACCACAAAATAGTTTTTCATTGGGGTTAGGGCCACAGGAATAAAGAACTATTTTCTAGGAATGTCTAGGTTTTCCAGAACAACTCTTTGGAAGCTGAACTAAGAATTGCACTGGGTGACCTAGAGCAGTGTTTTTCAAACTGTGCTCCTCCAGGTGTTTTGAACTTCGGCTCCCAGAAATCCCAGCTGTTAGGAATTGTGGGGCTGAAGTCCAAAACATCCGGAGCAACACAGTTTGAGAAACTCTGAGATCTAAATATTCCTAAAGAGGTGTTCTTTGTAGAAATCCCTTGGTTCTCTAGCATGAATGAAAGAAGTTGGCCATAGCACCTGAATGGATTATCTAGAGAAGCAGTTCTCAAAGTATATTCCACTGAGCCCTTGGGGATCCGTGAAGCATACTGAGGGTCTCCACAGTTTCCTCTGCCTCCTCCTCCCTCTTCCCCTTTCTCTCCTCTTTCCTGCTCCTCCCCTCCCGCTGCCTCCCTCACCCCCCAAAACTTTTTTCCCCTCTCCACCAAGATCCTTTTACTCTCACCTTGCTTGCTTTCAAAACCCTATTTATCTCCCAGTGCTCAGGGAGTACTTTGATTGTATTTTTCCTGCATGGCAGAATGCATTGAACTGGGTAGCTTTTGGGGTTTCTCTGTTGTTGTTGTTGTTGTTGTTGTTGTTGTTAGGGCTGGGTTGCCCTATGTTGGAGGTACTTTGATTGTGCTTTTCCTGCATGTCAGAAGGGGGTTGGACTGTATGGCCTCTGGGGTCTTCCACTGAAATACTGTTAAGTTTTTGTTGGTCAAAACATTTGTCCATGCCTGAAATATATACATTATATATAATATAATATATAAACATTTACTGGGGCTACATGAGAAACTTTCTCTTCAAAAAGGATTCTGTAGCTGAAAAGGTTTGAGAATTCCTGATCTAGAGAGAAGGTTTTTAATAAATTCACGAATAATCAAAACTGTAAACATCAAAGGCATAAATATGCAGGAATGATTGCAGTATGTGCAGCATTAATGCTTACATTTTGATTTAATTAAGAGAAAATGGAATATTAATATCAAATTGATATTATGTATTAATTTCATACACAAATTTTGGATTTAATTAATTGTAGAGATATTGACCTGTGGTGTAAACTGCATTATTCATAGGTCAGTAACTGGTTCAGGAGTAGACCCAATCTGTGTACAGTTGTTTCTCCACATTTATGGGTGTAACTTTTGCAGAATTGCTTATTCATAGATTTGATTAAAATCATTTATCTAGGAATCTCTAGGTCTTCCAACATAATTCTGTGGTCAACTTACTCTAGTCATACTGAAGGACCTATAATGTTCTAGTAAACACATCTCCCTGGGGATCTCTATGTTCTCCAACATGATAAAATTGTATCATCAGCCTCCAATGGAATTATGCTGGTCGCTTAAATCTAGACATAGTTTTCTAAGATCTACAGAGACACTCGCTGGAACACCTCAGCAAGCGAGAGTCCAAAAGTGGCAGGCTCAAACCCAGCACCTCAACCAATGGCTGATACCAAATGAGAAACTCCCCACTGGGCGACTTGGAAGGCTCTGAACAGACTGCGCTCTGGCACCACGAGATGCAGAGCCAACCTTCAGAAATGGGGCTACAAAGTGGAATCCTCGACATGCGAGTGTGGAGAAGAACAAACCACTGACCACCTGCTGCAATGCAACATGAGCCCAGCCACATGCACAATGGAGGACCTTCTTGCAGCAACACCGGAGGCACTCCAAGTGGCCAGATACTGGTCAAAGGACATTTAACCAACTACCAAACTCACAAGTTTTGCAGTTTTCTGTTTGTTTGCTTTGTTCTGTTAGAAATGTAATATAATGGACTGGTTGCTCTGACACGACAAAAAAAAAATGGAATTATGCTGGAAGACCTTGAAATTCCTAGAACACATCTCTAGGAATTTCTAGATCTTCTAGTATGACTCTATGACAGGCGTGGGAAAACTTCGTCCCTCCAGGTGTTTTGGACTTTAACTCCCACAATTCCTAGCAGCTGGTAGGCTGTTAGGAATTGTGGGAGTTGAAGTCCAAAACACCTGGAGGACCAAAGTTTTCCCATGCCTGCTCTATGGTCAACTAACCTTAGAAGCTGACTATATAATTGCATTGGAAAATGTCACATTCCTGGAGAGGTGTTCTCTCTAGAAATCTCTCTGTAAAAAAAATAGCAATTTCATTATTATTGGTTTTTCACTTTCACTAGGATCCTGTGCCCCTAACCACAGTAAATGTGGAGAGATGATTGTACTTCGTTCTTCAGTGGTGAGGTATAGGACAGACTATAAGTCATTACTGTACTAACAGTACATTAATTTTGTGGGGGTTCTTTGCCCTCACTCACATAAAACTAACTCCTGATACCAGTGAAGAATCCACTTTCACATACCACCTACCCGGACCATCAGATAGCAAAAATAAGAAGAAAAAAATGAAGGTCATCAGTAGATTAATGACACTTCAAACCAAACTCTGCAAGTGCTGTTTTCACATCATTTGTGGCTACTATTTTTTTGTACAGCAGCACTTCATCTGTTCTACTTGAAGCCAATCAAGGTACATTCTGATAATTTTCTTTTAAAAAGTTATAAGAACTCTGTTTTGTGGACATTTGATGAATTATTTTTTAAAGTGCTAATCAAATGGCTGTGTCTATCTAGTGCAATAATTTGTAATGTTTTTCCTATTAAAGGTTTTCTGAAATAAATTCCATATAACTTTGTGGAAAGAAAACGATATTAGCTTCTCCTTAGTATTATTATTCTGTGAAAAAATACCCATCTGAGAAACAATTCCATCAGAGAAGAAATATAAAAGAATCTGAAAATGGAAAGCCATAATGTGTATATAACACATAAATAACTGCTCTCTTGTGATTTCATTTGATAAAGCGGAGAATGGGATCAAATAAATCTAATGAGATATAAGTAATACCTATGGGTATTATATCATTAGTTTGATGCACAGATTTTATTAACACGGGTATCACTTTTAAGAATCATAGAATCATAGAGTTGGAAGAGACTTCATGGGCCATCCAGTCCAACCTCTGCCAAGAAGCAGGAATATTGCATTCAAATCACCCCTGACAGATGCCCATCCAGCCTCTGTTTATGACAAATTCTGAAAGTCCCATCTGAAAATGCAGAGAGCACATAATTTTTCCTACGTGGATATAATATTTAAATATTTTCTTTCTTTGGAAGTGCTGTGGGGAAAAATCAAGTTTAAAATGTTGGGTTTGAGTAAAATAAAAAGCACAACAGAAGAAAAAGAAAGCAGAAATAGAGAAGAGAAAGACACATTGTTATGATTGAAAGCCAGACATTAGAGTATTTCATTTTATCACCAAATGTGTAAAATAGCATTCAGGTTTTACTGATATACTTACACTTCATGCTTGTCTCTATCAGGTGCGAAGAGCTGTCCTTTCTGTGACTAAACCTAATGCAAGCCTTAAACCGTCTCTTTGTAGAGAACAAGAGAAGAGAGGAGTGGCTTCATTTTCTTTATAGCATTCAAATGTTTGAGGAAGTGGACATATGACGGAAGTTCAACTCCCAGTCATGCTTACTCAACTAACATCTATGAGGTGGACTCATGGATGTTTGGAGGATATCTTCCAGAATGTCATTCACGATAATGTGATAATATGCTTGTTTCTTTTTTGAACTATAGGAAATAAATTGGTCATTGATCCTTGCCTTGCATATATGGGGAAATAAATTCACAATTCATATCATCTGAAAGTTGACTGCCTTCATACTGGAAGACTACTGCAGATATGTTGATGGATTATCAGCTGTTGCCTAACATGAAGATAGCTCACATGGGAAAAATTGTACACGTCTAAGCCACAGCTTTCTGTGGTAGGTTGATTATATCTTATCCAGTGTGAATAATACTTCCACAATTCTTACTTTTACCTCAAGGCAAAGGAGTCATGTTAAAGGAAGAAAGGAGCATTGTTACAAGATTCTGGGATGAAGTAACCTCATGATGATGCTCCTTCCTGTTACTAGCTGTTCCTGCTATGCTAAGCTTCCCGCTCTGCCTCGGGAGTGGTTCAATTCACACATCTCTCAAATATCATATCAGTGCATGCCACTTAAGTCGCACGACCATTTCATGACTAACTTATACTGTAGTTGGCCACTTTAAACCTGATTGTTTCTGTAGATGTTTTAGCAATATGACATGTAAATGATCTTATAAAAGCCTATTAAAATGTATATAAATCCCCAAATCCTGTAGTATGGCTACTGGCAATACTGAATGGGATATTCTGAGAGCTACAGGCTGTGATGGCACGCCCAAGCCTTTGGGGGAAATTATAGTGTCTGGCTTTACTCGAGGGCTATCTGATACCTTCTGTTAAGATTAAGACCCTTAGCAGACAGAGGCACTTTAGGCAAGGTGAAAAGCTAACCAAATGAGTTTTCTGAAACAAGATGAATAAAGGGTTAACTCCACTTGGGACTATCATAGGATAACTTAAAACAATACATTACAAAAGGAGAACTTGTTGGTTGCAGGCATCTTTCTGGGGTCTTTGAAAGTCTCTTTTGCCTCTGGTGCAAAGTGATGGTTATAAACTGCCTTAATATTCTTTCTTGTGAAGCTTAGGCTGGCCAAAAGCTTCTGTTGTCCTTTTGATTGTTGGTATAAAATACTGCTAAATGCAACAGCAGGAGAAAGTGCTAAGAATGTCTGTTTGAATTGCTAGGCCTAGGATTCCAGACAATATTCAGGCATCTAAGGCTCTCCAGCAGAAAGGAGGAGGAGTCCAGCAAAGAACTCTGTGCAGGAAAATGGAATAGACCAACTGAGACTGGCCTCTGAGGGGTGTTATGCTCCACCCAAAAACTAAAGAAAAGGAAGATATCTACACTATTGGGAAAATCTATGAACAGAAAGAACTGAAGCAGAGGAGAAGAAGGCAAAGCCAAGACTTCACAACAGGCCCAAAAGTAAAATTTCCAAACATTTCAGCTGTATAAATTTCTAACCTGAGAGGCAAACTACATGTTACATTAAACATGTTTTTAAAATATGTGCATAAAATTAGCCAATTCTTTTATAGTGTAAAAAAAAATCTGTGGAGGGTACACTGGAATGCTGGAGGATGGCAGAGAGGGTTCCCCCCCCCCCTTTTTCTCCTTGAACTATTTTTCCACCAAAAATTGCCTCTTGAGAACAGCAGTTGTTACATGAGAGCAAAAGTGTTACCTGCAACCCCTCTGGTTTTAGATTTGAAGAAAAAAGAGACATGAGCAGTGCTAAGCATATTAAGTAAAATACAAATTTAATATAACATATTTATTTATTTATTTACCACATTTATACCCTGCCTTTCTCACACCGAAGGGGACTCCGAGTGACTTTACACATAGGCAACAATTCAATGCCATAAAAACAACATAAAATTAAAATAAACATTTACATTTAAACCAAGAATTAAAACATCTAAACATTAGACCAATTATTAAAATCATGCAGTCCAAGATCATAATCTGGAGCTATTCCAGTTGTCATTGCAATGTATTATTTGACTTGAACAAAGTAGTAATATTATTCGCTTCTTCTATTCTAAAACTGCTATCAGTGCAGTCAATTCAGCTGACCCCAGAAAGACTTGGAAATGTTAACATTTGAAATATAACTCTCAGAATTCTGGCAGTTTTAGGACCTCATTGCATTATCTTTGAGAAGTGTCCTAGGACGCTTCCAGGATGCTTCCTCGGCGGAACCCATCATATGATGCAAGACTACTTCCTATGGGACTCTGTAAAGGAAATGCCCTGGCCTCATCTTAGGACCCTGCCCAGAGAATCATTAGATAGAATGGGAGAAGCTGGGCGGCTACTCTTTCACCTATGTGATAATGATTTCCTCACACTGCGCCACAGATTTGCCATGCTCCCTGGTGAACCCTCCCAGTGTTGCCTGGCTTTAGGACTTCAGTGTGATGAGTTCCAGTCCCCATAGTATTTTTTCAACTAAGTGCCTTTTCTGAAGCCAGCTTGCTGTGGGATCAGACATGGGTCTATTTTTTCCGTAATTCTATGCAAAATAAGTCTCTCCAGAACTTTGTAGAGGTGGCACAACAGGGAGATTGGTCTGTAGCTTTTTGGGTCATTACGGTCTTTGCCTGGCTTCAGGATGGCGATGACTCTTGCTTTCCTCCAGATTTTGGGGATCTGACAGGATGCAGTGCAGTTGTTCATCAGCTCCAGCAGCCAGCACCTTGCTTTTGGACCAAAGTTCTTGATCACCTCAGCAAGCAAGAGTCCAAAAGTGGCAGACTCAAACCCAGAACCTCAACCAATGGCTGATACCAAATGAGAGACTCCCCCCTGGGCACAAAGAGGACTGGGCGACTTGGAAGGCACTGAACAGACTGTTCTCTCGCACCACAAGATGCAGAGCCAACCTTCAGAAATGGGGCTACAAAGTGGAAGTGGAATCCTCGACATGTGGAATCCTCGACATGCGAGTGTGGAGAGGAGCAAACCACTGAACACCTGCTGCAATGCAACCTGAGCCCTGCCACATGCACAATGGAGGACCTTCTTGCAGCAACACCAGAAGCACTCCAAGTGGCCAGATACTGGTCAAAGGACATTTAATCAACTACCAAACTTACAAATTTTGTATTTTGTCTGTTTGTTTGCTTTGTTCTGTTAGAAATGTAATATAATTGACTGGTTGCCCTGACACGACAAATAAATAAATAAATAAATAAATAAATAAATAACCAAGTGCCAAATTTGTATCATACTTCAGTATTCCGTCTTCCTCCTACAAGCTGTTCTGAGATCTCTAGAAAAGTTCTCACCATTCTTGTGTTTTTGCACTGCCAAACCAAGGCATTTTTGTTCTGTTCTGACCTGTCAGACTGGGAGGTCTTTTTAATTGATTGAACCCTTGCTCCCAGGCAATGTCTAACTGCTACGCTGTGAATTATTACATTGTTAATTCTTTACTTTGTTTATAATTTGTTGGAAGCCTCCCAACAATGTGAGTACAATGTGAGGTTTAAGTGTCCTTAAATAAATAGATGGAGAAACCAGTACCATATTAAGCTGCTTTCTACATTCTGAACTAAATCAGCCACATGGAACCAGTCAGGACCAGCCCAAATTATTTGGTGCCTGAGGAAAATGACAAAATGGTGCCCTGCTGCATTTCATATACCCCAGCCAACTGGGCTGGTAGTTGAATCCTATTCCAGCAGTATGTGTAGCATCCTGAGCAGGCAGCACATTCAGTAGATCAGGACAAAGGGTATGGCACCACAGCATTGCTAAACAAATTGTTATTGGGTATGTGCTTTCTAATTCAAATGGTTCATAAGTAAAAGCTTTGGATAGAGCAAAAGTGATTTTATGAAACAGGAAGTAAAGAGGTACAGATACATTTACACACGTTAGTTTGAATCCTGTTGGTGTCTTCTGCATGTGTAAGCTCCCCTACAGAAGCAATTAGGCATTTTTGTCTGATGTGGAATTGCCATAATCAGTACAAGTTATAGAAATTGAATTATTTTGTGGGGGCATCATGCATGGATGCCTTTGCACATGTTCAAGCATTCTGCATGGCTGTGTGTTGTGTGCATATTTATGTGCATTACACAATGTGTTGTGCAATGTTGCAATTCATTAACAGGTCACTGTTGTGCAATTGCCTCATAATTCTGTGAGCATTAATTCATAGTTTGTTGGATCTCAGTCAATGCAGCCTAGATTAGTCAGTGTAGTGTCTAATCAAAATCCGTGTTCTCGACACAGTGATGAATTTATATGTATCTATTTGTCTCCACTGTGTCTGTAGGATTTGGTGTCCATTTAGACGTACAACCGTTCATTAAAAAATACCTTATGTGACACACGTACCTACAAGTAAAGGAAATGCATGAGGAAGGAGGCTCAAGTGGTTTTTGATTACTGCTCCTATTTCCCCAGAATCTGCTACCTGAGGCCTAATGTTGAGGCCAACCCTAAGCCTAGATGTCAAGTTTTCTTTCCACACTATCCACTCAGCCTGTAACAAGAGACTGCTGATAATACTCATACCAGAACCCTGCAACAATGATGGAACACTACTGACAACAGAAGGTCATCTGAAGGTACTGCTTGATTTTGTTACCCAAAATGTTTGCAAAATTTGCAGAAGATGCCTTAATTATCTTGACTTAGTCCAATCAAAAGAAGAAGAAAAATTATATGCTCTAAAATCTAGACATTCAGCAGAATTCAGACATTTGGGATAGATATTGAAGAACATGTGCATAGGGAAACATTTGTGGCATAGGAAGAGTGCCAAAGATTTCTTGGGAGAAATCAGAACTTGGAAAGTCAGCTCTAGTTAGAATTTGGATGGCAGAACATCAACAAGACACCACCTATATTTCAAAGGAAGGAACTCGTAAAATCATCTCTGAATATTCTTTGCCTAAGAAAACCC